TTTTTTCACTTATGCAGAATTTTAGAGCATTTCTGCTACTCATTTATTAAAGTACTAATATAATACTACATATTTGTGTACTCAGTTTTCTCCCCGTTTTAGTTCTGAAAATTAGGTTATACACGGCTCTATAATAGTACAAATGACATGAAAATTCGACTTTCCTGTACCTGAAACGGGGAGAAAACTGAGTACACAAATATGTAGTATTATATTAGTACTTTAATAAATGAGTAGCAGAAATGCTCTAAAATTCTGCATAAGTGAAAAAAGTTGATCGCAATATGTGATTTTGACACTAGGGCACCCTAATATACGTCATATAATTTGTCTATGGAGATGCGTGGAAGGAATGTTTCCTATATCGTTACATAGAGAGTAGATGTGTATATAAAATCCAGCGGAAATCAATCATCTATCATTGAGATTTAGTGCCTACCTATATCCATCAATATAGGCCATTTTTTCATTTTTGCAAAATCTTGCATATGATTTCAGCGCATAGTATGGACCACAACTCGTTGAGTGTTTGATGGTTACAATCTATGGTCTGGGTGGTTGATAACCATATATAACACTGGACTTAATCATCACGTTTAAGTAGAAAAATTGTATCGTCAAAATCGAAAAAAATGATCTACGCCATATTGGGTGCGATCGAAAAAGGTAGGATCCCGATGAGTTAGGAAGCTGATTTTGTTACCATGCAAATATGGTAATGAGAGGTCCAAATGCTGAAAGTTTCAGCTTGATCGGAAAATGTCACTGCATTGGTGGGAGATTCCTGGTGGAACTACCCGTATGCGATTTCCAGAGTGGACCAGAATCACTTTCTCCTAACGATAGGGTCCACAAAGGGCCCCATCTATGGTCTTTGACCAGTAGCTCTCCTAACAGGTACCCGAGGGCCACTCCGGAGGCCATCGATGATGCTGAGAAAGTTGTAGATCTCGAAGAGTTACATCGATCTATGTAGTTTCCAGAGTGGACCTGCATCATTTTCTCTTAACGATAGGGTCGATGCAGGGTGAAAACCATGTATTCACCAGCTAAGGAAAAAAGCGATATCTATGGATATTGGTCTTTGAGGAGTGCTTAATTCTTTCATTTTTGAATTCAGCAGGTTGAGTTGTACGGGTTTGAGTGAATTAGGAATAGTTTTGAGGGGAGGGGGCGATTTCAGCTCTTAAGCGCCCCCTCCTTTGAATTTCACTTCGTCTGATTTTCATAGAGACATCTTTGTCTTTATGAAATTTAATTGACGAGAAAACCATTAGAAATATTTAATAAGTCTAGGATCACATCTATTGAAGTGAAACTAACATAACGGAGTTCGAAAAATTCTAACTCCTAAACGAAACATTGGTGGAAGGTAGGACCTATGTGTGATTGTAGGGAACAGTTGTTCTTGGAACACTTTTGCACAAGTTCCACTTTCCAATAATGTTTTCTTTCGAAGTTTGACCATATTGAAATCTATCCGGCCAACGTTTCGATATGTCAGCTTCACATTGATAATCCCTCTTGAAGATCATGACTAGGGGTACACAAGTTCAAGCTCAGGAACCGACTCAAATGAATTTTAGAACTACAAAATTGTTCATTGCAAACAAACTGAATAGTTCAAACAGTTCTTTCGAACGAACTGAACTTTTCGAACAGTTCTTTTTGAATGAACTGAACTTTTGGAATCATACGTTTTTAGCGCATTAATGACAAATAAACTAAGAAACAAGTCGATTTCGAGCGAAGAGAACTAGTTCCTGAACCGATTCAAAACGATCAATTCAGCTTAAAAGAACTGTTGGAAAATGAGCGGTCCTGAACTTGAACTGAACTTTGTAGACCCCTAATCGTGACGAAGTTTCAGGATTACATTCAGAAAATTTACAGTAGTTCCTGTTTATACATGAAATTCCTCATAGTATAATCTAATAATAATCAGAACTAGATCGTCTATCATAATACATACCGCCAGTTAATATTGCTCGTATAGACAGCATCTTATGGAACAGATGAGTTTCTTTTACATAAGTGTAAACAATATGCATCAACGATGGAAGTAGGGCAACAAAGGTAACATGGTGTTTGGCAAGCGTTTGAACAAAATACGTAACATCCTTGTTTCCATTAGGTCTAATCGCAACGACTGTACAGCCCAAAAGCAATGTTCCAATTATTTCTGAAATATGATAATCGAAGCTGCAAGACGTGCATTGCATGACCAGATCAAAGCTATCATTCAAGTGATCAGCAAGGGTTGATTGTAGATAACAGAGAAAGTTTTCATGAGAAAATGCCGCCTAAAACAATTTAATTGTTACTATCGGAGTCCTAAAGCTTAATGGGATTCACAACTAGTTCAGCACTCAATGTTGTAGACTCTTTAGATGTAGAATATATTGAGACATTGTTCGTCATCGATTCGATTTCTGACGTCCAATATTTTCCCAATAATTACATTTATCCGTTTTCTACTTTTGAAACACAAAAAGGAATGCTTCTGATTGGAGGCATACTTTTTTTATACGAGTAGGTATTGACTAAGAAAAGTTGAAAATTGCAGAACGTATGAAGAACACTACACGCTATTTACTGAATATGAAAAATTGAGTATTTCGGTGGTTACGAGTCTCGTCGTTTCTCTTCCTCGGATAAAAGATCATGTATACTTACAATTTTTGGCAATCCAGTTGAACCAGACGTAAATAGCAAATAGGCTGTATTAGAAGTTGATACTTTAACATTGGATAGTAAATTGAATTGTGGATTCCGTGAATCGTTGTAATGATCAATATATGAAACATTTTCAATATCAACAATAATACAATCACAGTTTTCTTGAAGTTTTGTACGAGTTAATGAATGGCACAATATTAATTTTGGCTGCAGTTCATGAATCAATGAACTTGTGCGTTTCCAAGGATCATCTGGATTTAATGGACAATAAACAGCACCTACTGTTAAGATTGACAGTATTCCCAAAACCATTTCTATCGATCTCTCAACATACTGACAGATGACATCGTTTGGTTTAACACGATGTTTATCAATAAGATATGATGCTAAATTTTTAACATAATATGCAGTCTCATCATATGTTAACGACTGTTCATCTAGTAGAATAGCCAACTTCTGTGAATACTCTTCTGCACGATGAAAAAATTCTTCGTGTATTGGCTTCCAAGAACGATCAACATTGAAAGTCACATGCGTTTCATTCAAATCAGCTATCATTTGTATTTCTCTTGGTAGTAAAATTGAGAGTTCATAAATTGGTTGTTCTCCTAGATTAAAAGTTGAATTTGGAGAAAATAATTGCCTTAAAAGTGTATGAAATCTATCTGCCAATGTCTGAATAGTTTGATGTTCAAATAAATCGGTGGTACATGTGAATGAGACTAACATTTGTTTTTGAGACGGAGTATAATCTATTCTCAACAATAAATCACATTTTGCTATTATTCTTTCAATATCAGATGTCACAATTGTGCACCAGTTGTTATGATTATTTAAGTGTGATATTTCTATTTGAATAAATGTTTGTAATAGACTATCTTGTGATTCGTTCTGGGTTAAATATTGATTATACAAATGAATCAATTCCTGATGAGGTAAACATGTATGCGGTAATATCTCAAAACACAAGTGTTGAACATTTTTTAATTGCTGTTCGAATGATAATGAAGAATCTATCTTGAAACAATATGGTATTGTGTTCACAAACATACCGATTAATGATTGCAACACTTGAGCATAACGATTTGCGCTAAGACTAGTGACACAAATTTGTCGGTTATTACCGGCTGTTAGTTTGAACAGATAGACGTAATAAATTGTTAGATATAAATGAAATAAAGTTACTTGCTTTTCACCAGCATATATAAGCATTCGATTTGTTAGTAACTGATCTAAGCTAAATGTTACTGTAAAGCCTTTACCACTTCGTGTATGACCGAATTGTTCTTTATGATCATAAGGCAGATCTAATTGATATACTGTGTTATTATCCAAATACCATTGATCTAATGTTTGTTTCCAGTATTGTCTTGCAGTAGACATATCCATCATACGTTCATTCTCTGAATAGTCAATATATTGAAGAGCCAATGGAACAAGATTCTGATCACTCTCATATGCTACACATAGATCGTCCATAAATATTTTTACGGAACTGCCATCAAAAGCAATGTGATGAAAGAGAAATACAATTCGATCGTTTATATTTAATACATCATCGGAAATTTCTCTTGTTTGAGCCATCTCACTGGCCGATTTATGGAAACGAAAAATGTGACAATGTAGAAGAATTCCTTCATCCAAGTTCAGCAAGGAGGTATTGACTTGCTGCGTGCGTACAATTTCTCGGTAATCTTTTTCGCTGCCAATAAATGTTACATTAAATGCGTAAAATAATTGTTCTATATCATCGAACATTGGTTTTATACATTGCTTCAGATATTCCTTAGTAGAATCATATAATATTGATGTTCTTAATACACTATGTTTTCTAACGACCGCATTTATTGCTGCTTGTAAACGTTTGATTGAAATATTATTTTTCGAAATTTTTAGTGCAAGAAGTTCATTATAAATTGCGATCTGTTCATTAAATCGAACTTTTGTATCTAACCATATACGTTCCTGTGCAAACGATGCTCTGCCTAAAAGTATACAGATAATGAAACAAAATATACATAGCCGATAGTATCAGTATTTTTGTCATATAATGGGGCACACATTTTGAAGTTTAGTTAAAGTTGCTGAACACAATAAAAGCAATTTTATGATGATCATAGTCACAGAATACGTTCAAAGTTATTCATTTCTGACGATGTAAAACTATATTCTAGTCATTACATCTATCTTAAAATCACTTTTATTGCACCGAGTGATTGTAAAAAATATTAAAATGTAAGGTATATTTCTCGAGAAAAGAATCCTTATATGCAGACTTTATTTGGAGATTGACATCCGATGATGTTTTTGAGAGAAATAATAGTCTACCAAGGATATCTTAACTGCTTCTTTAGTTTATTCCCTCCACTGTAGAGGGGGTCATATGAAATAAAATAGTTTGTCTGTCTGTTTGTGTCAGGGTGAAAGGTCAAAAAAACATTTTTTTTCCTACAATCGTTCAACACATTGCAAACTTCTAGTGTGCCGGCCGTAGAACGAGTGCGGATGAAGGGTGAATGGGTGCGTGGGTGGGGGTGGGGGGTCTTGGGTGAAACTATGGGTGATTGTATGAGCGTGGATTGGGTTTTCGGGTGAACGCTTTGGTGGATGTATGAGCGTGGGTGGGGTGGGTGAGGGTGAGGGTGAGGGTGGCTGCTCAAGGAGTAGCGGGTAACGGAGGATGGTTGGCTGCGTGACGCCCCGCCATTAGTTGCAGTGGGTGAGTATGGTTGGGACCCCTATTTGTGTAATGGGTGGCTATGGTGGGGACCACCAATGGTGTAGAGAGCGGGTGGGAGTGCTCAAGGAAGATACGCGATGATAAGCTTATTGTTTTGGTTAGAAACAGGTAAGAGAGCAAGAAAGAAGCTTAGAGAAGTAAAGAGCATGCGTTCGAACTAAATGTTTATTCAATGTACCATGACGGTAGTTGTTGACGAACGTCTATATGATCATTTGGGGAGTGCCAGTTCTTGCTGTTCTAATGTTTTCAATGATGGTATTGTAATCTTGACCTTTGATTGTTTCGTATGTTTGAAGCGAATGTAACCGATTAGAAAAAGTACCATAAAAACTTGAAATTCCTTATTCGTATAGAATCACTGAGCTCCATGCTGTCAACGGTTACACGCAAAGCACATCCTTTCTCCACAGTCGAGGGCTCAGTGAGTCGCCACGACGAACGTTACTTATCTGTAGGTATTAATCAATTATTTTGTAATTGCACATATAATTTTTTAAATAGTCTAGCGAAGTTGAACTAATTCAGTTCCTCTAAATGACCTGCTCATGAATCATTAATTTCTAATCGGGTGTGCTTTGAATATCAAAGCAGTTTTGAACTAGAACTAAACTTTGCCCATCTCTACCGATTCGTCCGACTCGAAGACAGAAAGTATGAACACAATTTCAGTTGCACTTTCTCCTTCCTATTCTGACTAAAAGTACGACATTGAATTGTTTTACACGACATGGTCGTGAGATTTTGCGGCCTTACAACAAGCTTAAATTTTTTTTCTTGTTCTCGGATAATACTAAGATATTCTCAAAACAGTCATCTGAATGTCTTTCAGGTGTAAATTATAGTTTAATGTAGCATTACCAAACTCCTTTTTTTACATAGGATATCCTAGCTCCCGATTCGAGTATTTCCAGGTCCGATTCGCCTGTGAGACCATTCCAACTATACCAAGAAGCATGGGCGGCGCATGCTTAATCTTTTAGGGGAGGCAATAAAATTTTTTACCAATAGTGAGTATAGGTTTTCCATTTTCAAAAATGCACACAATCGATTTATTTTCGAAATTCATAAATAGTTCATTCATTTTCAGAATACTTTTTTTCCTATCCTCTTTTTTCGAAATAAATTGGGTAACAAGTGTGATATACTCTTTAAAAATCTATCAAAAGATGCGAATATTAGGAGAGGCAATAACATTTTATTGCCTCCCCAGATTTTCCATAGGGGAGGCGATTGCCTCCTCTCGCCTCTATGGCGCGCCGCCAATGCCAATAAGCATTCCAAGTAGAACTCGACGAGTTCTACAATTTTGCAATAGAACACTTTTTTGTCAGATCCTCCCTTCCTCCTGAAAAATGCTAAAAACCGCAAAAAACGTAAAAAAACATGAAAATCAGAGTTTTCCCTGGCCTGATTCGCTGGTGAGACCATTCCAACTATACCAAGAAGCATTCCAAATAGAACTCGATGAGCTCTACAATTTTGTAATGTATCACTTTTTTTGTCAGACCCTTCCTTGCTTCCCAAAAATGCAAAAAGTCACCCAAAGGTGATAAAAAATTAGTATTTTCTTACAAATTTCTTCAGTTTTGAAGATTTTTCAGGCAAGAGTAAGAATACTGCGGTACTATAGTGTGAGTAGCGGTGGAAACTAAGTGGGAGAATTAAATTGGAAAGTTAAATCGTATTAGCCGACCATTGATTCAAAGTGTAGTCCATGTGATAGTAGACTCAAAGCCAAACATAACTACAATTTTATTGTGCCTGAGTGATGTTGGAGAAAAACTTGATGAATGTCGGAGTATCTATGTAAAAAACAATGCACTCCTCAGGTACTCTCGCCTCATGATACCACCTCTAGAGGCGGCGCCAGGATTCTTATTGAAAGGGGGTTAAGCCGCCCTCCACTAGTTTTCATATGATTTGTGAAAGGAAAACCAATTAAACGTCGCATATTCTAAACTGAAAAAATCAAGAACAAAAGGATCACGCTGGAATACAAATCGTTGGCCAAAAAATCATTGGCTGGCTATTAATAAAATATTATCAGCTCGCTCATCTGGCCCCTAGAACGAGCACACAAAAGAATCAACTGGAGAGCTTTTCCGACTAACAGAGCTATTGAACTACGCCTGCATCAAATCCTGGCTTAACATTTAACGACTTACAAAGATTACCTAACAAGTAGTGCTCACCCGTTCGATTCGCTGGCCTTTTTCTGAAAGAATTATCAGAGAAATCAAGATAGTCAAATACTGCAAATAACAAAATCCCCGCGGAAATGCCTCCGCACTTTTCCTCATAAAGACTTTTCTAAAATGAAATTCAGTAGTTCTACTAGATATTTATCAGATAATTAATTTCTTAAGTATGATAAAAAGCTTTCAGCGCAATCCCTAACGGGATTAAAGATGTGAAACACGATCCAGCCAGACAAACTTTTAACACATAGAATGCTCAATTTATTTCCCAGTCTGCATTCCTATTTATCTAAACTTAAGCTGTTGAAAGCAACATATCATTATCAATAGCGATGTCTGCTGCTTTTTAAGAAATTTTTGCTTTATCGGTCGCAATATGCGATCCTTCTTATTGTGCTTCCATTAACCGATCTCGATCTGTGACGCGAACTACACGTGTCGATGTAACGAAGTTGAGAACGAACCTGTCCCTGAGACAATGATACACAGTTCATTTGCCTTTTCCTCTATAAACCTCTGTCTCTCTCTCTTCATTTTTTAGGTGTCCGCTTCTACAGATAACAGTGAATAACGGTCAAGGCCTGTCGGTGACAGGATCTTTGGGCTTGTTTATAAGGATCTTTTACCGGTTTTTGGGCCTGTCTGTGATGGGGTTTTCAGGCCGTCTGTAACGTCTGTGGGGGTGTCCAAGTTTCTACCCCTACACACTTCAACACTCTCTTTCAGATCGTGTTTCACAAAAGTTATTTTGAATTTTTCGATAACTATAAGAAGTGAGGCATCTCAATCGCTGCTGACCCTCCGCTGTAAGTATGTAAACAGGTTGGTTACCACTCTTAAGTAATATAACGATCTGCATTAGTTCACGACTCGAATCGCTTAAAATCTCGAAAAACTCATTTTGTCCGTACTCATTTTAGTTGCTGTAAGCCTCTGGATTAGATGCCTAGGCGTTCGTTGAATTACAAAAAAGATATATTATTTTAGAAATAGAACATATTCGTCTGGAATAGCTTTTGCTTCTTTGGAATGTTCTCTATAAATTAGATGTCTCCCAAGATACAAGAGTAAAATTACAATCATCTACTCCCTTTTTTATTTACATGTTTTTGCTAAAAATTCTATCGAAACGTCTGACCTATATAGTTGACTATCCAAAAACATTCAATAAAAACTAATACCAAACTAGGATATATTCTTCAGATTACCTGTACTAAAGTTTTTCGTGCCACTATTACTAAGTTTTATGCTGCGAACTCCTAAATGCTTACAATGGGACGCATTACAACCATCGAAATTTCTCCACCGGAGCCCGAAACGAGGCGAGGCAGCAAGATATTGCCTCGTTTCGCTTTCTGTTCTCCACTTCATTGTCTTTCATGAAGTTTTGAAAATCATATAAACTCTGGGGTTTCTTTTGTGAAGAACAAAACTTTTGTTCTTCACAAAAGAAACCCCAGAGTAGGGGTGGCACTTTAACTTTACTTTCAAAATTAAAGTTAAAGTATTTTACTTTATTACTTTAACTTTAATTAAAGTACAGTGAAAAATCGAAAATATTTTTTAGCTTGCCCTGTTTAATTTTATGTGGTTTTTGACAAAAAATTTCAACTTTCAACTTTAACTTTAATTAAAGAAATTTTAAAGCTGTAATTATTATCCAAAACCACATAAAATTAAACAGGACGGGCTAAAAATATTTTCGATTTTTTATTGTACTTTGATTAAAGTTAAAGTAAAAACTGTAAACTTTAAGCACTTTATAAAGTAAAGTTAAAGTTAAAGTGCCACCCCTAAACAAAAGACTCAAGTGAAATCCATTACAAACAATTGATGTTAGATTCATATTCGTTATTCTCGATATTCCTTGGTCAAACTCCAAAGAAAATTCGAAAACAAATTCAGTTTCCAGAAAGAGAGTAGATGTGAACAAAGACTACAGATAATAACTTACGAAAAAAGCTAACATCATGATTCCTGTTCCACGGCGTCGAAATATCTTCCCTCAATTATTATTTAAGAAAGTTGTTTTTGTAAAAAAAAGTGGTCCATTGTCTAGAAAAAAAACAGAACGAAAATTTTTGATGAAAACTGAAATCAGATCCTTGTTCCTCGGCCGTGAACACCTTTCAGTTAACTTTATTACAAAATTTTCTTTCGGAGGAAAGTGGTTCTTTGTTTGAAAAATAGACTAAAAGATTTTGGAACACTAACATCAGATTCGTGATCCTCAATCGCGGGAACCTTTTCGTTAGCCCTTACTCCACACTACTACAATCAATGATAAGTTAGTTAACTAAGTAATTAATTAGTGTTTTTAAAAACTAAAATCAGATTCGTAATTCTATTACCGCCCTTCCCCTTCGACCAACCCTTAAACGAAATGTTCTTTGCAAAAAAGTTGTCTTTTGTCGCAAAAAAACGAGCCGGATTTTTTTACGAAAAACTACTATCGGATTTATAATCCTCAAAACTGATTTACCTTTTGTCGGTCATGTCCTAATGACAATAGTTGAATTCTCATTGATTTATAAAATACTGCAATTTCATCAACTTATACAAACAAACAACCTTTCAACGAATTTTAACACGTCTATAAATCTTTCTTTCAGAGAAGGAAAAAATAAGAAGAAAAGAAAAGAACTTCTAAAAATAATTAAATTTTTTGAAAATTTCAAGCAATAAATATGTTGTGAAGATTATACTATTTTCGATTCTCACATCTCTATTGGCTGACACAAACAGACCAATGAATGATAAGACTGAAGATGTATTCCACTCAGAGGTAGGACAAGTACACGTACAACTACTTGTACGTGCATGGATATACCTGTACTTGTACTTGTACTTGCACTTCTAGTATAGTACTTTATACCTGTATTTCAACCTCCGAAGTGATACAAAAATGGACCAATGGGATTACAGGATTCATTTGCCCATTTTCTTCGCTATTCTCAAAGAGAAACCCTTGGTTACCTGTACCAATGTTGGGGTAATCGAGTACGGTCTATCATTCTAGTATAGGTAACCATGGGTTTTCCCTTGAAAATAGGCGAGAAACCACTGTCTGTACTCGGATTGGTCGATTTTGGGCAATCAGCGATGACCGTGATTTTTTTTCAAAAGCTTATTTTCGCTGGAAATCGACTAGAGACGCCTTATATAAGGACGTTTTTGTTTTGACCTCCAGAGATCTGCANTCTGCATGTCGACGACCGCTGAAAAAATTCAAAAATTAATAAAACTCCATTTTTAGTGCTTTCAGTAAATTTCGTGTATCTCAGTCAAAGTTCAAGCTTTAGAGCTAAAAATTTGGATTTATGCCTAACAAAATACCCTCTACAAGACGGGATAGATCTCAGTAAAACCGGCGACATCGATTGAGCAGCCCTGGTTGTCGTTCTCGTGCATTGACTCATATATATATATATCTTCCATAAAAGAGTTCTCACAGTATTTTTTGCGTCGATCAAACCATCGACGAATAGTTTTCTGGACAAAACGAACTCTTGAAAATATCTCTTAATCCACATTTTCGAGTACACTTTCGCACCCTCAAGAATTAACTTATCCGACTGTAATCACTTATTTCAGTTGCCATCATTAGTACATACAAAAATGTGTTCATGGGCACGTTTTTGAAACATGATCTGCCTATTACAAAATATAAAGGACATCTGTTTTATATTTCAAATAGATATGCATTATGAAAACAGCTGTTTTAACACTGTTTACATTAAAAAACTAGTACTTGTTGTGCGAACACTTTTTCGTCTTAATTTTAAAATATACTATTTTTGGAGCATACTATGTTGAAATACGATACAAGCAAGCTTTAATCCACAACTAGAACGTTTTTATTCGGTACCGATATGTGATACACGGGCATCATAGTCTGAAGTATCGTGCACCACATATGATGCACAGGACAATCAACGTGTTTATAACTCTCCATGCTTCTTTACATAAAATGTTTCGAGTGTATTTAGAATCAAAGCGAGTGAATCTTAATGTCATCAAAAATATAATTCCCAAATTGGGGAAGTTTGTTGAAAATTCATGATATTTAATATATTTAGTGTAAACTTATCTCGGATGCTTTACCATAAAGATATAAAAACGAGAACATTACGTTGATAAACTTCTATTTAGTGAAATTACAAAAATCTCACCTATTTGTGTTTCAAGCACCGAGCATCAGCTATATTTCTACCTTTCTCCTATATTTATTCTTTGTTGACATGTGACGCTGCAAAACATTTTGTTGTGCATTTTGGAGATAGATAAAGAGATATATGGTGACTTGCATATCGAGATAATGAGTGTCGGTGTTGATGTTGATGTCGTTATTGTAGGGGCTGGTGCAGCAGGAATTGCAGCAGCGATCGAACTTCATAAGAAATCTGTACCTTTTGTTGTACTGGAAGCTCGTAATCGTATTGGTGGTCGAGTGTGCACAGATCGGGAGACATTCTCCCCGTATCCTGTAGATCTTGGTGCAAGTTGGATTCATTTATATGGGCCTAAAAATCCGATGTATTCATTTTATCAACAGTTGAAACATACCAAATTAGTCGATTTATATAATGATAATGACGACGAAGACGAAGACGAAAGTAAACGTTTGATCAATATTGACTATGATGGTAGACCCATTTCAGATGATTTGGAGCATCAGTCGAAAACAATATGCGCACAATTATTCGCCTACATGGAGAAATTTGCTTCATCAAATGGACAACAACAAGATCAAAGTATAGAATCTGTAATGAAATTAGAATATGAGCGACTTGTTGGATCTCAAAGAGAAATCAAACGTCTTGTAGATAATTATTTTGCTGATATTGAAGTTTATGAAGCATCAGACTTTAATAATCTCTCTGCTGTGCAATGGGAAACAGTGGACACGAGTTCAATATCTGACAAATGGGTTTCATTTGGTTACGGAACTATCCTTGACGATATTGTCAAACAACATAAATTATCAATTCGACTAAATACGTTGGTAAAACACATTGATATACGTAATTCTGATCGTATCGTCATTAATACAGCATTAGATGATTATCCGATCGTCTGTCGTCGTGTCCTCATCACCATTCCATTAGGTTGTTTGAAAAAAGAGACGATTACATTTGAACCACCTTTACCTGAATGGAAACGTAATGCCATTGCTCAAATGGGTTTTGGTGTTTTGAATAAGATTGTTTTGCAGTTTTCCGATTGCTTCTGGGATCCAACTAAAAGATATATTTTACGTACATGTAATGAACCGCGCAGTCGCTTTCATTATGTTGTTTGTTTACCTCCACCCTCCAATATTCTTATTCTGTTCGTTTCAGGTAACGATGCCTGTGCATTAGAAACTCTTACAGATAGTGAAACAATTCAACTGGCAACTTGTTTTCTTCAAAGAATATTTCCAGAATCATTCGTACCTAACGTTATTAAGTATAAAATTACACGATGGTTCAAAGATTCGTTAAGTTTTGGTTCTTATTCCAATTATGCAGTAGGTACGAATGAAAACACTATCGAGTTATTAGCTCGAACGACAGCGAATGATCGAATACATTGGGCTGGAGAACATACCAATATTGACGATAAAACTGATCAGTGGACAATGGGATGTGTTCAAAGTGCTTTTCAAAGTGGACAACGAGCTGCATTATCTATTCAAAATCAACTTCGTTCGTGTTCTAATACCCAAAATAATTTCGAATAAATTGATTAATTTAAAAATACTTTTTGAATAGTAAAGGCCGCAGGTTTACAACTCGATTGAGATATGTCAAATTTGCTTGAATATTAATGAAAATAAATGCTTTCAAATAACGAACATAAATACTTATTTTTAGACTGTTTTCTCTCGAGATGCAACATGCTGAAACTGAAGCCAAAATAATAATGTCGTTTGTTACCTGTATTTACAACCTAAAGTCTTAGTTTACATAGTTTATCCGAGCAGTTTTTCTCAATTATTAACATTTTCTCACACGATAAAGGGAAAATATATCCTATTTTAAATTGTTGAATATTGCAGAATCTAATTTTGATCAAGTTTTAAAAACACGGCTATGATTGTAGAGGATAGATTAACTCAAGACAGTCTGAACTCTGTCTGCTTCTCGATTTCCCAAAATTCACTTCAAGTACGAGAATATTCGTTACATTTATGTTTGGTTCTTATCGGAATCAGTTGCTCTTGACAAAAATCAACAACCTTTCAAAAGACTTAGATCTTCTATTATGCCACTCAAAACAAATAAGGTTTCTCTATGGGAATATTTAAGAACTTTATGAATTTCATATTTTGAGTATGTATTACTATAATAATAATTTGAAAGACTCAACAGATATACTATTAGTATGGAATCTGTACTGTGAACTCTTTTAGTATTAAGAGAAAGGAAAAGGCATTCTTTAATGAATCTTTGAAAATATATGCACAGAAGAGTTAATAAGTAATTTCTACACATGGAAAGATAGTAACTATTTTCTATTATGTCCAGAGTGTTATCATGCAGCTTATTTTATCAATGTCTGATTGTGACATAGAGTTTTAAAGGTTGGGCTATGATAGGATTGTACCGAATTAGAAACATTTTTACCAATTTCAAAATTCTGAGAATGGCCGAAACTCATTTAGTTTCCAGTAGGTTTATTAGTTTTTCTTACAGGTAAACGTTTTTTTATTGTATGGATATATATGTATATGCATTTTCATTATACAACCAAGTATCTGGTCATTTTCTGAGACACGACTTAAAACTAAGTGTTGCAATGTTTAAGGGATGAAAAGTTGTATCCATTTTTCCTACACAGACTGTTACCGATACAATTGAACGATTATGAAGTACAATTTGTTGTAAATTATGAGAGGTCGTGATCACCATTGTAGTAAATGTTTCTATTCAATCGTAGCTCTCGATCGACAAATAACTAAAGATTCTTAGACATTCTCGTTGTGTGTCACGATTGTCCGCTCACAAAGATTACACCTTCAACTTTGGATTTGATTTTGCAAAACGATAGTTTTGGATATTGTACCCTTTGTTGGTAACTGTTTAACGAGTAGAAAAAGTAAGGCTGAGTGTTGATAGGATATAATTACCTTCGTCTCAATCAAAACGAATCTGAGTGCTGATACAACACTGGAAGCAGTTTTTGAAAAATCTTTCTAAAGCGGTCAGTAATATACATTTTTCCCTTTTCTGAAAGAAAGGGTTATGCAGTGTTTAAACTCTGTGCTAAAAAGCTTAAAATTTGTCTGCCGGTCTGCCCTATCCGATCAGAAATCAGCATTTCTAAAATCAATGAAATTGATCGATAGTTGTTAAAAAATGATTACCGGTAGGGTAATCGAGGTCGGGGAACTTGAATCTGAGGTTAGTTTTAACTAATTATTAACTTATTATCAACTATGCATAGAATAATAATGTTCACACTAAGGGTTGACCGAAGGGTAATCGATGCCGCATAATTCAAATCTGAGCTTGGTGTTTTCTTATTCACCAAGCTTAGACTTCTTCCTTTCTTGTTTCAAAAGAGATAGTTTTCTGTGTGTTTTACAAATTCTGTTGTAGAAGATAGTTGATTGAACGCTATTCACTAAAAAAAAATTAGTGCTCTACGGAACCATTAAAGGATCTTCTCGTGTATCGGAGGGAAGAACCTTCTACTGCAAAACCTTTTTTAAGTTCAGCATACCGAAAACAGGTTCCGTAGCAAAATGCAAAACTTATGGGGTTTCATATCACACTATACAAGGACATTAAGGTTCAGTACGAAACTATTATATTTTCCTAAAGAACTCTGAAAGTTTGGTTTTATGCTACGGAACCTGTTTTCGCTATGCTGAACTTAAAAAGGTTTAGCAGTAGAAAGTTCTTCCCTCCGATACACGGGAAGATCCTTTAATGGTTCCGTAGAAATTTTTATTGCGTTTTTGTAATCGTGAACTTGTCTGAAGACTTTTTCGTAACCACGGAACTTTTTTTGAGGGTTCAGTAGAGCGCTAATTTTTTTTAGAGTGTTCCCGGATGTGATACGTACAAAGACAGTAGTTTATGGAGCTTACACAATAAGATCTGGTATATCTTACATTATGATACTAGTAGTTTAACCCTTTCCAGCCGGGTGTATCCATTTGGATACGTTTTCCCGTAGAGGAGGGGGGGGGTACGACGTTCTCTGAATAGTCGGCGGAAAAGGGTTAAGAAATTAGCAGAAGCGGTTTGCGCTTAATATGATGACTGCGTTGTTTGTTAGGATACGTCAGGTCTTTCGACAGCATTTTAGTCAATATACATCGCAAAAAAGGTATACCGGAGGCAGTCGTGATAACGGCTAGCCGTGAGTAACCGCCTGGAGGAAGGCCGACGAACGACTAGACGTTAGTTTCAGAAGATTTCAAGAAGCGAAAAGAGTATGAGGAAAACATCGCGACAAATAATCGAATGGGTGGACTATTCAAATGAAATAATTTTTATTTGTTTCTTTTGAGGAATAAGAAGATCTGATGATATCGTTTCAGAAATAGGCTAGCGGTTACTGCGTCTCGTTTTTCAATGTGTCTGAAAATGTTCAGCAGTAGAACAATTCTTTCGGAAAAGGGTCGGCGAATCCATAGGATCGGCGTTACTGGTTTTCTTAAAACGCACATAATTCCTTCCACGATATAAACCATTTTTCTGTTTCGCATTTTCTATCGCATAAAAATAGCTTTTTTCTCGAAGTCAATAGAATCACTTAAAAGCTTGTTAGCGCAGCCCCTTTGGGGCTAAAATGTGGAACTCACATACTTATGTTGCGAGAAAGATAGTGTGGATGAAAATATACTAGTTACGGATTACACTCAGCATCAAACCTTCAACCTCATAAAACAAGCACAACTTGTCCGCATTTATGTTGTTATAGCGCCTACGCCTGCTAGGATACCTTGCGGGTGTGAGGGTGGAGCCTCGAATGAAACTATGAGTGCTTGGATGACAGCGGGTGGTGGCAGTCGATTGGTTCTTTTGGGGTGGGTGTATGGATGAGGGGATTGGAATGGGTGATCGGCGGCTCTGTTCCCGGAGCTGAGGATTTTATGTAGGTTAGGTGTTCTGTTCTTGTCGATTTGTTTATAATGGAATATGAAACTGATGTGGGGTTGGGATGGCTAGGAGTGTTTTCAGAAGGCAGTTGAAACCGCTAGTGTGTTCCAACTTTTAAGCAACTGCAACTGATATTAGGAATAATAAAAGAACGACAAACAATCGTATGTATTACGGTAGCTAAATGCACTGAAGGCGAAAAATAGAGATATCAAGAGATACATTCGCTAGAATCAGACGTGCCAAATGTAATCCTAATCTATTGAGTTAAACCTAAAAAGATATAGGAATTTGACAAAGACAAGGAAATAAAACTTCTGCAAGTAAGTGATGATTATTGTTGGTGTTCGTAGTTGTAACGACAAACTGGTTGAGTAGCTGACCGCTTCTCACGGTATCGATGTTTATTGACTACTCTACATGACCAGAATGTGTCTCTTTCACAATAAGACACGTGCTTATATAGAGAAGAGGAAAGAGAGATATGACCCGGAGATAGTATGATATAGAGGTGAGAGAATAAAGAATAGAAAGAGATGAACGATATCATTATCGTTACAGTAGTAAATTCTGATTAATGGTAAAAATATTTTGATGTAGTTGAGTGTCTGTTCCAGTTGGATTCATAAATCGGAGTTAGAATTGCTTGTTCGCGGAGTTGCCGATTTCTGGATGGAGCAGCGTGTGGTCCCGTGGTAGGGTGAGGGTGTGGGTTGAAGTATGTAGATGAGGGTGAGGATGCCAGGAAAGTGACATTGACTTAGAGCAGACTAAGATTGACGTTTGACGTTCTTTACTTTTGACTCTTATGTATGCTTCGTGCCGCATTTGATATGTTGTGTATGGTTGTGATGTTGCTCGGTTGAAGTGGCCCTAGTGCTTATTGTATTGCGTCATCGTTTCTTTCTTCTTATTGCATATTGCATTGGTAGTATAAAATTCAGGTTCTTATATGCTTCTCCAAAAAGAGGAGGAAAAATTCAGTATTTGGTTTTCGAAAGTTACTAAATATATCTGCGCAAAACATTTGAATTGTTTCTTCGTGTATAAAATTGTTAGATCAATTTGTCTCACTATTGGGACACGAAAAAATACCTGTCCTCCACGGTCGAAGGTTAACTGAGTCGGCACGGCGAGCGCTACTTGCAATTACACCCGTTTCAATGGGCTCTCGATCTTATCAAATTCATATAACAGAGTATAAACTGGAAAAAGTTTGATGTGAAAGAAGCGGAATATTTTCATTGTATTTTGGACTATGAAAAGTACTGTCAATCTCATCAAAACTTTCGCAAATTGAAGATCCTGTAGCTGTTAGTTATTTATGAAAATTTCAATTTGATCTGTTAACTTTCTCCTTCAAACCGACATTCGCTAGATCAGATCCATATATAGCTTCAGTCATGAATACAAGAGTGAAAATCGAAGGTTAACACAAACTTCATCAACGATATTTACAAGTCTCGTCTAGATAAGCGACAGTATTGAGAAAAATTCCAACTAATTAAACTGAAATTTTCAGGAGTGACCAACAGCTATCGAGTCTTCAATGCCCTCAAGTTTCAATGAGTTTATCAGTAATTTTCTGCATAGAACAAACTATAACGAAAACGTTCCTCATTATTTTAGATACTACTGATATATCGATTTCGTTATTAATTCTTAACATGGTTCAATATATGATTCTGCGCTTGAGATATAGCGATATTTATCTAGGATCATAAATTGCAAATCAGTACATGGGACTTACCGTCTTCATAACCACTTTTTTCAGTACAACAAAAATTCCTTCGTGTATTTGATAGTTCAGATTGTATACAGGTATCATATAAGAAATTTTCAGATATTTGGAATATATTTGTCCCACCAATAACAGCATAATCAGCATCACCAATTCTTAATGCTTCCACAGCTAAAACGACTGTTTCTAGAGAAGACGAACGCGTTGTATCAATTGTAAAATTCGGTCCACGGAGATCAAAATGATACGCTAAGCGTACCGATGCACTACATTTAGATAAGCTTGACGGTAATAAATGTGTGTCTGTACAATTCGATTGGTTTATTATTGTTGACTCATGCTTGTTCGAGTGTTGACCAATAAATACTGCAGTTTTTGTTCCAGCAATACGATTAATTGTATAATCAGCATCTTCTAGTAAATGAACGAATTTTTCCAATAAAAGACGATCTTCTACATCAATTTTCTGTGCTTGTAATGCTGAGACGCCGAAAAAATTGGCATCAAAGCGATTCAATAATTCATTGTCAAGAAGATAACCATGTTTGCCAATCATGTTGGTCCGGTTCAAGTCACTGTTTGATAGATTTAATGATGATGTTTGTAACTTTATTTGGTCACTAATCATTTCACTTGAAATGTCAGCATTACTTTTTAATGTATCCCATAATGAATGACCTGAATGTATACCATCACCAAATTCACATGAAATACCGATCACAGCTATAGGTTCCATAATTACTTATAAAAATCTGCAACCAGATATTGAATAAAGACATTTAAAAAAAACTGATCCTTTTCAATCTTTTCAGAATGTTCAAAGATTATGCTAAAAAAATAGAACATAAATCTACTCTTATTTTTAATGCATTTTTAACACTATATATATATATATATATATAGATAGATAGATAGATAGATAGAAAATAATTCTACATTTACTGACTAGCATAAGTTAATACAGCCATCGTAAACGCTAGCTGTGAACAGGCACCGTATTTACCAGCCGTTTACAACTACCGTAATAATAGAGGTGCCTGTCTTGTATTTCCATGTCTTTCACCTACGATAGACCCTACTCTTTCAGCTAGGATAGATCCTAGTCTCTCACCTAGGATTGGCCCTAGGCGTTCAATTAGTTCTGATTAAGTTCTATGAAATCCTAGTGAAATCTTTTTAGTTAGGTTGTAATACTATTTTAAACGGCGATGTTTACGGTCGAGTTCGTGTCCAGTCGGATTCAGCGTGGCGGCATATAACCTTAACACGGCGCAGGCCATACGGTCTATTTACGATCCGTATACGCTCATAATTTTGCCGTTTACGATCTCCGTAATGTTCGGCCTGATTCGCACTTCCAAGGTTTGAAATATAGTGCCAGAACGCAGCGTAAAATAATCCAATCGCACTGACACTAATGATCTAATTTGTAAATGAATAAACGCAGAAACGTCGGATTTTATCCGAGAATTCTATGTGCTATAAAAAGTGTACGAGATAGATGAGCCATTCTGAAATATCCCACCCTCAACAATATCATGGGTGATCTTTTCGATGAGCACGAATTCTGGTGACTTTTTTCCAATGAATTTATGTGTTGCTATCAGTAAACCTATAAGAGATCTGTGGTAGATACTCACAGTAGTATTTTCATAACAATTCACCAAAACTGTTAATTTGGGAGATCGAGTTTTTTCTATAGGATTTACTCATCTTGAGGGGGGGTGGGTGTACCCCCCCCCCCCCCCCCCCCCCCCCCCCCCCCCCCCCCCCATCTGTTCTCTGTTTTGGTGGGGCCCGGGGGGGCGGTGCGGATGATTTAGGGGCTCCGGCGCGGCGTGGC